CATGTGGTTAGTTTTCTAGAAGCTTGAAATATGTAGCAATACATAAAGTAAATTCAATCTACATTTGGGTAGTTGATACCATTAAAATCAGGAAAAAAAGACTAAACTAATATCACAATATAGTAGGTTCCAACTAAAAACAAGGAAAAATCTTCTCTCTGTAGAGGTAATAAGCACTTACTTTATAACTAAGATGATAAATTATCTCATTACTTATAATCTAAGCAGCCCTATTTAATACATTACCATTTCCTAAAGTAGTACTTTTTAACTGAATAGTAAACTTAATTATTCTAACATCTTTCAAGTATATTTACTCATTGTTTTGTACTCTTGTCTTTGTAAGTACTTTCCAAAATAAAAATATTTATTTTTTTTACACCAAATACTTTCATCATTTAAGCAGCAACTCAAAATACATTAGGAATAAGGTAATAAATTAATTTTACTATTAAAACATAAATTTAAAGAAAAATTGATAGTTTACTTAAATAATCCATGGAATGTTTAAACTGTTCATAGTTAATTTTATTCTTATAAAACTCATGAACATGATTCTTCCCTTTCTATCTTATATTACATTCTTAAGAATGCCTGGTAAGTAATGTGATCGGTAAAACAAAAGTCAAGGCAAAAATATCATGTTGACAAATTTATTTAGAGAAAGCATTTTGTAGCCAGGCAAGGTAGCACATGCCTATAATCCCAGCACTCTGGGAAGCTGAGACAGGAGAATCACAAGTTTGAGCCCAGCCTAGGTAACTTAGTGAGTTAGCAAGTTGTCTCAAAATAAAAACTTAAAAAGGGCTGAGAAAGTGGAAAGTCCCTGGTTCAATCACACAAAAAAAGAATGAATGAATGAATGAATGAATAGCATTTTGTTTATGGATTAATCCTAAGGACTCAAATAGAAATATTCTTAAATTTACCAAAAGTATAACTGCTATACTATAATCACATTATTTCAAGATGAAAATAAAAATCTATCAGCCAACAGTGGTGTATCAAGCATTATCATTTATGAGAAATTAGAATAAATCTCTTTTGCTTTCCTAGCCGTCCACCATAGAAAACATAACCACTACTATATCTCATGGCTAAATAAGATTATCATTCAATAAAGGCAAATATGAAAAGCATGAAACAACAACATTCTGTGAACTAATAAATATAGGCCATTAATCATTTGGCTTAGAGATTCTGTTTCAATGACTAGCACTGAAGGTGAGCCCGTGAAGGCAATGGATCAGAGATAAAGTCAGAATCTCTAAACAGTCACGTCCTCAATGAAAAGGTGAGATTTTTTAAATCTTCGCAGAGGCAAACAGAAACGATCTATTTCAGCCTTGCATCCACTTGGACGAAAAAAATCTGTTCCCTCTGGGAACTTTTTGCAAGAACTAAACATCATGCATTTGGGGAAGCATGAATTTTCTTTACAATGTCCAAAGTTGGTAGGGCCCAAGAAACACACTTTGTCTCAGGAGCAGGGGGAGGCAAAGGAAGGGCCAAGACCTACCACATGTTTTTGTAAAAGTTTTATTGAAATGTAGTCAAGTCCATTTGCTTATTATGTGTAGTTGCTTTCACACTATTTTCATACTATAACAGAGCTAATTAATTGTGACAGAAATGGTATGACTCACAAGGCCCTTTGTAAAAAAATTTTGTGTAGCCTTAGTATAAGACAATGATATGATGTCATTTGTGTTTAAAACAAAACAAATTTAATTAAAACAGCAGAAACAGTAGCCTGTAAATAGGAGGTTGAATAATCAAAGCATTAAAAAATTGATTAGCTTTAGACTTAGTTAAGAATTCACTTTTAGGGCGGGGGATTTAGCTCAGTGGTTCCGCTGCCTGCCTTGCAAGCACAAGGTCCCGAGTTCGATCCCCGTTACAAAAAAAAAAAAGAATTCACATTTAGGGCTGTGGATTTAGTACCACACCTGCCTGGCAAGCTCAAGGGCCTGAGTTTGATCCCCAGTACCGGGGTGGGGGTGTGGGGGGGATTCACTTGTAAACCTCAAAATCAAATCCCACATTTCAAGTACAAGCATGGAAAAAGTTTAATTGTGAATCTTCACATTGTCCTTAGGGAACCCATATAAAGCAAAAGGAAAACATGGGGGAGGTGGGTGCATTAAAAAAAATTGTATATCCACAGAAACTAGGAGCATGTAAAAAAAAATCCTGATTAAGTGCAAATGTGTAAAAAGCAAGTGAAACCAAGAAAACCAGATAAAGAAAACTATAACAATGCAGAAAGGGACATGAGAAATAAGGAACTAACAGTGGCAGGTCTCAAAAATTACCAAATTCATTCCAATGATAAAGGTTGAGGGAGCCAAATATCCAAAGAGTTATAATTAAAAACCAAAGTAAAGGCCGGGGATTTAGCTAAATGGTTCCGCCACCTGCCTCACAAGTGCAAGGTTCCAAGTTCGATCCCTGGTACTAAAAAAGAAAAAAAAAAGCAAAAGAAAACACAGTGATTTAAAAGAAACATAAACATGTACAGAATATACAAAAAAAAAAATAGGTGGAAATCACAAAGCAAAATCCAACTCTCTCCCAGTTCGCAATAGATAAATTTTTTAAAGTAATTCTGAAACTCTAAATAGTAATGATAATAAAAGAATGGGAAAGGTATACCAAGAAAAGACTATTGAGGGGCATAATCAGATGAGCTAGAATCCAGATTATCAAACATTAAACAAGCAAATCACTTTGCAACATTAAATATAAAATACACAATAACAAAATAGTTAATATCCACAACAGCAATGTCCATAAAGCATTAATTCCAGAATATACAAGAATAGGCAGGAACAGACCACCCCTTTATGATTTTAACTCATCTTTCAGAGAAAGAGATCAAGTACAAAAAAGTACAAGACCTAAACAATACAAATAATAAATTAGATTATGTGTATACATATTTGTATATATGTTAATCTTTATTGGGTATATGTATTTAATCCCATGATATTAAAGGTTGTAGTTTCTTTTCTAATACCTATGCAATATTTATGAAAATTAAGCAACAAAGGAAATTTCAGTAAATTTTTTAAAAGCAGAAATACCTACAACATTCCTTGAACCCTATAATAAAACCAAAACTTAATAACAAAATAAACAAAAAAAAGTACTTCTACATAGAAAATTTATAATCTGTATTTAACTCTTAGATCTATGGGAAAAATCAGAATAACTCAACCATGTTTGTTTCTGTGATGTAAGCTTATGATCGCAATAATGTTTGCAAGCAAGCTTATTCAATGAAGGATTGTTTACTAACCATTGCACTTCAACATGTTCTCATCAACAGAAATTCTCTTTTGATTACTTGTAGATTACTTCTATTTTCTCAGTAAATAAAATCATCAGCTGAAAGTGATGATAGAGAAGGAAGTGCTGGAAATTTGAGAAAAAAGGAAAATGTATGAAATATTTAGGAAGCATTGGAAGACAGACCAAGCTTGACTTACAGGAGTTCCAGACATCATTGAGGGTCAATTTGAGATTGGTGATTATGAATTAAAGCTGGGAAAGAAGCACAGACAAAAGACAATGAAAGACAGTGGGAAGTGATAAGAGGCTCAATGGCTAACAGCAGTGGAAAAGTCAAAGAACTGTCATAGTGTGAGTATTAGTGTAAGCTGAAAATATCAATGGAGAATAACATTCAGTACTTGAAACAGACATTACAGGACTCATTGCTGGTACTGGAATGACAAGATCAACAATATGGTAATGAAAATGAATAGATCACATAGGATGGAAAACAAGATCTTTGGTAGAGAAATCAAGAAATTAAGAGACCAAGTATTAGAAGAAGCATTTATGTGGATATTTAAATCATAAAAAGAGTTGACTGATATATGCTAGACAGAATGACAGTAAGCCAGGAGCTAAATTATTCAAAAAGTACAACAGTAAAATGAGAAGGAAAAGATAAGCACAAGACAGTAAGGTAATAAGAGGTAGGATCTGACAATATAAGATTCAAATTGAAGTGGAACTTTACATAGGAGGAGGAGCTAAGAAGAGATGGGGAAAGACAATAGAGAGTAAGCAGGAGATCTATCCCACTTTCAACCCAGCTCCATCAAGGATGTGGAAATGAAAACGATCATCCCTTCAAAGGACTATAGAAGAACGGTGAAGGAGAGTCTTTCTCTAAGTACACATACACTCTTCCGTTGTTACTAATGATAATCTGAAATGAACTTTCTCCCCAAGACTGTGCAAGGACTCTAAACAGATACACACAGATGAACACACAAGAGCCAAGAGCTTGAGTTCAAAACATTGAAAGAGCCAAAAATGGAATACGTTCTTGACTTTAAATAGCAATCGTAGGGCACACATTTTCAGACAAATCAAAAACAATAAAAACATTTTCACTGCTTGAAAATGTCATCAAGAATGCAAAAAATAAAGTGCCATAAAAACAACAAAAAATATTAAGTGTAGTACATAAATTCATATGAAGATTATCCTAGTCATCTTCACACACCAGGTAATAATAGCTTTTAGAGGTCAACAGACTATTCTTGGTAAGCTTACTTTAAGGAATAAAATATACAGCAATAGCAAAGATATAGCAATAACTCAGAAATAGAATGCTGAAAAATGAAAAATCTTGAAATCATGGAACATTTATTAAAGAGATTATGTTACGTTCAGGTCTTGGTTCATAAGTAAAATCTAAGGAAATAGCACCATCTATTGAAATTTCTCATACTTAAAAATATTTTCAAATTTTGGAAAATGAGACTAGTATGCAACATTCCCCCTCATTTGGCCAAGAGAATAAATTTAATTATTAAAGAATAAAATCTAATGTAATCAAAAACCCTTACATTAAACAGCATTAATTATTGGCTTATAATTCCAATCTCAAATAACTCAGCATTTTGACTAAATTCATAAGATTTTATTAAAAATAAAAACATTCTCAACCAATAAAGAAATTACATTCTTAAGAAACTCACAGATATGGTATTCCTGTATGCTGCTCGTATAACCATATACTGCAGAATATCCAAATATTATGATCATGACAACATCTCTACTATCCAATTCCATAATATGTGCTGAATGTCCTTCCACAGCACACTGCTGACCATGTCCAAGAACAGTAGGAGTTTTTGTACTCCATGACTGACTGTGTATGTTAAAAACCCATAATTCATCTGTAACATTGCCGTAATTTGTTTCAATTCTGCCTCCATACATAAAGATGTTTTCCTGTAAATTAAACACACACACACAAACATATATATATGTAAAAAAGGCATTTCTCAGCAGTACATATTAATTTAAACCTAAAGCTTTATTTAAACATTAGATTTTAATAACTGCTCACAACATTCACAATACATAGTTCTTATCTGAAAACTCAAATAGAGAACACACAAAAAATGATTAATGTTTTATGTACAGGAGGTCATCTATACTTTCAAAAAGTTACATTAAGATATTTTAAATAATTAAATTATATCAACTAAATACACTTTAATTATTCTATATGAAGAGACCACTGAAATAATGTTAAAATTAAAAATGCAATATGCTAATTAAAATTTTAAAACTTAAGGGTACAGTAGTTCTACAAGTAACAAAATTTACTGCTTCCATAAAACAGGAAAGTAACACACTAAGTTGCTGATTAACATTACTCATAGTCTTCAATATTTGAATAATCTGAGCCCCAAGTCATTACATTTGAAGTTTATTGTCTATTTGCTGCTTGTGCTATTCTCAATTATTCATCAAGCATTACTCATTCAGCGACCACATTTGTGCATAATGTAGAATACATTTTTTATTAGTACATGCCTGCAGTACACGACGTTCACATTCATCTAAAGGAGTATGTACACGTACTAAACATATCTTAATTCTTTTTATTTCCCTTCCCCTTACCATTCTCTTCCCTCCATCTCTAGATTCCCTCCCTCCCTTTACATTTTTTAGTACATGTTTCCAACATATAATGATTACATTCATTATGGGTAATTGGTACATTTATATGACTCATCTTAAATACTTTTATATCCCCTTGCCCTCTCTCCATTTACCCCTCAGATTCTTGATTCCTTTCCATTTGCAAAAGGTCTATATCCCTGTTTTCTTTTTATCAATCCTTTATTTTCCTTACTTGTACTTTGGGTTGCTCACATCAGAGAAATCATACGGTATCTGTTTGTATATCTGATTTATTTCACTTAATGTTCTGTTCTCAAGATGCAACCATTTTCCTACAAATGTCTCAAATTTATCATTATAGCTAAGTAGTATTCTATTATATGTATACACACCACATTTTCTTTTTTTTTTCATCCATTAAGTTTATTGGTACATTTTAGGTATACAATATAATGACATTCATCATTGGAAAGTTGCACCTTTACATAATCCATCTTGGTTCTTATTTTTTCAAGATGCAACCATTTTCCTACAAATGTCTCAAATTTATCATTATAGCTAAGTAGTATTCTATTATATGTATACACACCACATTTTCTTTTTTTTTTCATCCATTAAGTTTATTGGTACATTTTAGGTATACAATATAATGACATTCATCATTGGAAAGTTGCATCTTTACATAATCCATCTTAGTTCTTATTTTTTCCCCATCCCCCTGCCCTCCCTTTAACCCCTCTACCCCTCCCTATTTACAAAGACATTGTTTCAATTTTTTTCTTTTCTCATATTTTTTCCTTTCTCTTCTTTCCTTTCCCCTACCCTTCCCAATTCCCCTACCCATTTAGACCTTTTCTTCCTATTTCACATTATCAATTATTCATTTTGATCCTTATTTACACTATCAGTTTCTCACACTAGAGAAACTATTCAGTATTTACACGTGTGTCCTATTTATTTCACTTAAGAGTATGTCCTCAATGTGCATCCATTTAGCTATGAATGACTCTAGTTTCCTGTTCGTTATGGCTTAGTACTCCATTTTATAAAAAAACCATATCTTCATTATCCAGTCTCCAGTAGATGGGCAATTGGGCTGTTTTCAAGCTTTAGCTATTACAAACTGTGCCGCTATAAACATGAGTGCATATATATCGCTGTGGTATGATGCTTTTAATTCTTTTTTTGTTGTTGTTTGTTTTTGGTACCGGGGATCATGCTCCAGACCTTGCACTTGCAAGGCAGGCGGCAGAACCACTGAGCTAAATTCCTGGCCTGATGCTTTTAATTCTTTTGGGAAGATACTCAGCAGAGGAATAGCTGGGTCAAATGGGACCTCTAATCCTAATTTTTTGAGGTATCTCCATATTCATTTCCCCAGTGGTTAACCAGTCTGCACTCCCACCAACACTGGAGAAGGGTTCCTTTCTTCCCACAACCCTGCCAGAATTTGTTACTGATTGACTTCTTGATAGCAGCCATTCTTTCTGGGGTGAGGTAGAATCTCAGTGTTGTTTTCATCTGTGTCTCTCAAATGACAAGTGATGCTGAATGCTTTTTGTATGTTTATTTGCTGCTTTTACTTCTTTGAGAAATGTCTGTTCCTTTCAGATGCCCATTTTTGAATTGGGTCTTTGTATTTGGGGGGTCTGATTTTTTTAAGTTCTTTATATATTCTAGATAGTAGTCCTTTGTCTGAAGAACGAACAGCTGGTAAAATTTTTTCTCACATTGTAGTTTGTCTCTTAGCTCTGTTGGTGGTTTCTCTTAAGAGTACAGAAGCTTTTAATAAGATGAGATCCCAGTTGTTGATTCTTTGTGCCAGTTCCCGTGCTACTGAGGTTCTGTTCATAACGTCTTTTCCTATGCCAATGTCTTCAAGAGTTCTACCTAACTTATCTTCCAGCAAGTTTGGTGTTTCTGTTTTAATATTTAGATCTTTAATCCACTTTGAT